CAGGTAGCACCGACCCCTGGTGTAGCACTATGGATGTCTTGCTTGATTTATGCTAGCCACATAGGAGTCACTCCAGCCTATCCACAGGCAAAAATCCCTCTGGGATTTGGCTTAGTACGGCTCCCTAATGCTGCTTTACGGATGAGAAATGCAGGACAGCAGCGGAAGACAGAGCGAGCTGATTTCCGTGGAGCTGGGGTTGAACTTGTCAGTGCAAAAGGCTTCCATTGCTCACAAACCAGCAAATGCCCCACGTTTATCACCGGGATTTAGATGACCCAGCTTGACAAGTCTTTGCCGCTAAGCTACACTACAAATCACGTTACGTTTATCTGTCTTCGGTTTTTTTTTTTCCCCAGCCACAGGAAGTCGCTTTGTAAAAACAACAGCTGTTAGTCACAAACTCCGAGTCCCAGGGAGTCAACATAACTTATGAAATAAGACTGTCGGGTGTGATTTACCAAAGGGGGAAACGGTTTAAATTTATTTGACATAACCAACAATAATCATTCCCTGCGTCTGGATTTTATTAATATCCGCGCGTTGCTGGTGATGATGTATGAAGGAGACAGAAGAAGATGCTTTGGATTTTAGAAACTAGGTTGGCCCTGCAGGGTTGAATAAGTATCAATGTCAGAGACGTATATATGCGCAATGGAAGGTGTCATTTTTATAGCGCAGTGAGATCTGACAGAAGCCAGAGTTATTGTAATGATGGTATTTCTCCAGCGGAGGGGGAACCTGATTCTCACCTGATTTTTAGGTGTAGGGCCAGTGGCTAGGATCTGAAGGCATTGAAAGCTGTGGTCTGGAGGAAATGCACACCTCCTGAATTCTTACCCTGATATTACCAATGACTTTTGGGCAAATCATGGCACAATTCATCTTCCTACGTACATTTGGGCAAATCATGGCCTTCATTTTCTCAGCTAAGAGAAATGGAAATGATGTTAGCCTAGCTGTTGCATGTGGGGACGGAAGTGGTTCAGTCAACATCTGCATGGAGTTTTGAATGTATACTACTTGGCATATATGGCACTTTGCTTCCTGAGCTGGCACACAGTGGGTGCATCTACATGTGAAGTTAAGGTGGCGTGGTAAATGCGGGAGCAGTTTGTGCCAGAATACACTGCTCCCAGATGCGGTGTCTACATGTGTGCCTGGGACGGTAGCACTTTGAGAGGGGACAGAGCAGCCCTGGGCTGGCAGCAAGCTCGGGCGGTTAGCCCCACAGTCTGGGTGGTGGTGTTGAGCAGCGGAGGGACTGGTTGGGGCACAAGAGTGCCAAAACAGCAGAGCTATGCGGCTAGGTGGCAGGCAGGAGTCTGGCCCTTTATTGCCTGGGCTGACCGGGCACAATTTACACCCATGGGCACCAGCTACACGTGCATTTAGTCACATTTAATTCCTCCTCTGTAAGATAGTACTGTCCTACTATGGCAGAGTGAATTCAGTCCTGCGTCCTAATCCTAGCGCATGTGTAGACTGCGACTCTTTACTGCAGAGCTAATTAGTCCATTCTGCGGTGAAGGGCATGCGTAGATGCACCCAGGGAAGTACAGACCATTAGAGTGGGGCAGGGCTGTTACTCCAGGGACATCCTGTAAGAGTTATTCCACAAGTTGAGCGTAATCTGTGGCAAGGAAAAAAAGAAGATCGCAGGCCCTTTTTTGTGTGCAGCAGAACAACTGTTCTCGTCAAGAGGGAGTTTTACGTGCTGGGCTGAAATTGGCAGTTATATCCATTTGCAAAATCAAAACTTTGACTTAAGTAGGAGTACGATTGGCCTCCAAGTCACCAAGCAGTAAATTATCCCCTTTCTAAAAGACCTCTTTGCAATCAGCAGCGTGCGCTGGGTTTTGTTTTGAGTGCCAGTTTGACACTCTAAGTCAATTCAGCTGGACACATACTGAACATTTAATTGAATGCAGGCAGGCACCACACCTAAACAGCCAATCAGTGTGGAAGGCCCCCTGTAGACCAAATGAACTGTTTGGGCTGTTTATCCTTTAAAACTCAAGGGATCGCGGAAATTCATGCCAAGCAAAGTGACAACCTGTTAGCCAAAGATGCAATATAAACTGTCATTTTGCCTATAATTAGAAGGCATCTAAATCTTTGGCTGGCTGGCTGAAAATTATACTGATGCTTTCTGGGTCAAAAATACTGAGTAATGAGCAAAAGTCACAGAATTTGGCCTGACCGATATCTGTGACATGCTCCCATGATGATAATCCACTCTCCCTAAGAAAAAGAAAAAGGAGGATGTATGTATGTATGATAAAACAATAGCTAGTCAATACCACTCGGCGTAAATAGCGATACTTCACCGGACATGTATTAATACTATGAGATAGTGGATATTTTGCAGGCATTCACCTAAATACCCTTTTGCTTAATAACGATCTGGCTTTCTGCATGGAGCTCAAAGTAAAGCCAGCAGGACTTGATTTGACTGATTTAGCCAGTTCTCAGTCATGTCAGATATAGCAAGCAAGGATAAATTGCCTCTAATATGCAAGAGAAAGGAAATAAGCATCTTCGGAGAACCTTTTACATCTGTTTCCACCATATGATGAATTCTAATAACTGTGACATACTAAAGATATAGTGGGAGTTTTAGTGTGTGTTTCTAGAAATTTGGGGTACAATCATTAAGTGCATATGATCAATAATTCACTATTAGACTATGTCCTAACTGTAGAAAGCCTACTAAGGCTATCTACGAGCCAGTGCCTGTTGAATATGGAAGCAAAAGGCACCTGTATCTAGCTTTAGATCTAAATTCTGCCCTCATACTCACTTGCGGAGCAATTATTGAAGATAATTACACAGTCTCACAATATTAATCTTTAGTATCTATGTATTAGCTTCTGTTCACTTGCTTGCTAATGGGGGAGCTGGGCCCTCAGCTGTTGTAGTGACATTTTGTACCATCATGCATTTAATGCACAGGGTCAGATTCCCCATTAGTAGGTGTATGTACTTGTAAACCACGCCTAAGGAAACATGGAAGAAATGCAACGTCCTTTGAGTCTTGGACACTGTTCTTCACATGCCCTGAAAACTATTTTCTTCTCATCCCCTTGGTTAAACCACGATGGCTGCAAATAATCATAGCTCCCCTAATGCCCATGAGGCTTTGCCTATTTATCTGAGCCAGAACATGCCCCTAAATTCTTTCCTCTGAAGTGTTGCTCTGCCTTTTGGTTATTTTGGACCAGTGCGCGAACTGGATAGTGATGTAGTCGTGCTGCTGCTCTGTTGCTTACCGAGTGGGACATAAGAACTGCTGTACAGGATCAGACTCAGCATCCATCACCTTCAGTATTTTGTAGCCAACAATGGACAATACTAAATGTTTATTCTGGGGAAAATCATGTAGGATTGCTGCAGCAGGCGAGCGTGCAGTAGTCCGACCCAACTCAAGGTCTGATCCAGGTCTGGTGGGTTTGTGCTTCGGTTCAAACCCTCAAGTATACGGCTGAATAGCCCATCCAAAAGTCACTCTCTTTATTATAGCTTTGGTGCTTAAAGCTCAAGGTGGCTCTGTTTCATTGTTCTGTACCAAGCGTCTCTGAAACGGAGACCTGGGAGAAGTGTCTGATCATGTCCGTGGAAAAAACCACCCTGGTTCCTTGGAAGTCTCTTGGGAGGAGTTCTGTTCAGAGTCGAAGATAACATCAGGGGTTTGGGGGGTTGTTTTGGAGAGGGAAAAACATTTCAAAATCAGCTGGGGGCAAATATAAGGTGGTGTGAAGTGCTTTGTGCACTGTGAAGACCTCCAAGTGTGAGGCTTTCTACTTATCGAAGTTGCTCTTTAACTGAGTTTTGCTTTCTGTAGTCAGGTATTTCCTGAAGGAGTCACCTGCCCATGTCGACTTCACCCATATATTATCTCAAGTTCTGTGGCAAACTCCTAATTATTATTCCCTCTACCAAATGATCTTTAATTATCTTTCCATTGATTTCCATCAGAAGGAGCTGACTGCACTGACGTTGCACTGGTGGCTGCTTGAAAAATTCAATTTCTTTCTTTGTACCAGTAATTAAAATGATTACACACACCAGGTAGAAAGCGTTGAGTCCTGCAGTAGAGAAAATACAGTGGCTCAGCATCCTGGGACTTGGTATGTTCACGCCCATTCAGAGCAGTCTCTTAAGTTGCCCCCAGCTCCTTTGCACCTCTAACGATAAGGTGGGGCAAAGAGGACTGGCAGAGATCGCTCTATGTCTAATCCTGACCCTCTCTTTGTGCTGGAAGTTAGGTAGAGTTCATCATCGTTTGTCACTTGTTGACGAGGATTTTCTCCCTATTATCACACCTCATTGAGTCCATTGAAAACAACTCTTTTCACTGCCTTGCATGAATTTTATATTTTCCAGAATAAGCATGGACTTGGAGTGAGCAGAAGGCACGTCCCCCTGGTGAAGAGTGAGATTTCTGGACTCGTGGGGATGGAAGTGGTTGGTGCCTTTCTTCTCATGCTGAACAAGGAACTCAGGGGAGCAGCTAGGACCCCAAAGGATAGTTTACCGCTTTCTCTCTCTGCCCCGTAGAGTTTGTGTCCAGAGCCTGAATCAGCAGCCCAGCTTCCCGCTGCAAGGTAAAAATAAACACGGCCAAGTTACTCTCCCAGGTAGCTTTAATGGAGTTTCTTTTCCCATGTTTTGCTGACTATAAATAAATGCTCTGGGCTTTAGTTTGACATACAGTTTAAGTAGTTGGGGGATTAGAAAGGAAGTGTTGGAAGCCATGAGGAAAATATTCTTTATTTGCATGGATAAAAATAAAGAGCTTGCAGTTGATCAAGTAAGTATTTGCATCTGCTAAAAGAAGTCCTAGAGAATCCTGCCATTATAAAATGGATTATCCTCTGTACTGTTTGTTCCACGGTGGCTTTCTTAAATCACTCGTGGTGCATTAGGTAATAGAAGTAATGCAATCATTTGTCTAAAGGCATAATTCTTGGGTGAAGCTTCCTCAATAAAAGCATTTCTGGTTTTGGCAGGAGTTGGTTGTTCCTTTCATATAAAATCCCCCTTTAAATGAAAAGTGGCCTTCTTTTCAACCAAAACTCTTTTGTGAGAACTAGGTAATTGTTTAAAAGTCATGTAACAAGCACCCTATTGAAAAGGCAGGATTCTTTTAGAGCTTTCATGTGAGCTCCTCTTCAAAGGGCTCATTTAAAAAAGCCAAGCTTGCCATTCACAAAGACCCCAGGTCAAATTTGGAAAGCACCAAAGTGACATAGGGGCCTTAGTTCTGTTTTCAGAAACGATTTGGCACTTAGGGTCCATGTTTAAATTTATCTAGATATTTAAAGATGCAACGAGTGGGGTTTCCAGAAGTGCCCACATAATTAGGGAGTCCAAATTGTACTGACCTTCAGTGAAACTTTCACTCCTAAGTCACTTTTGCAAATTTACCTTGCAGGCAGTCCTCGGACTTACGACACAACTGGTTCCTGGAGACCGCATCTTAAGTCGAAACACTGTAACTCGGAACCGATTTTCCCATAGGAAACAATGTTATAAATGGGGGATTGGTTCCTGACCCAAGGCCCAATACCCTCTTTTTACCAAAAATAACTCAGAATTTTGTATTCAATCAATTATACATGAGTAATATCGCTACATAGTGAATTTATACTGTAAACAGCAATCATATTGATTTGGGAGGACTTCTTTAAGGTGACTTTTTTGGAAGGGCTCTTGGTTGGACTTTTTGAAGGGCGCTTGCCTGGAGTCTTCTCAGAAGTCTTGGCTGAAGCTTTTTCTGGAGTCTCGTCTGCTTTCTTAAAGAAAGTGTCCAAGGAAATTTGGACAGATGTCCTCCAGGGAGATGGGCGACACAGCGAACTTGCTCGCCGGCGTGGCGTGACATCGGATCAAGCATCCTCAAGTCAAAACTGACGTCAGAAAGTCGAAACAGGGTGTCAATTTATAAACATCGTAAGTGTGAAACGGTGTAATTTAAAACATTATAAGTCAAGGACTACCTGTATTTACATTGGAAGAAAGTTTACCCTGATGTAGCTGAAACATGTATCAAATTCACCCAAGGAACCTTGTCTGCCTATGTCCTTAGACCAACACGGCTACAACCTACACCCCTACCTCTGTTGATACACTTAAACTCTGCTGGTGTCAAGCTAAGTCAGTTTAAGGCTATCTGTAATGGAGATTTGCACTGATCAGACTAACCTGGTTTTCTTTACAATTCTGTACGTTCAGATGTATATAAGACAGGGACTGAGAGTTTGGGCTGTGGATAGGGTGAAGTGGCTGATGGCTGGGGACAGAGGTAAAATGATGTGGAAGAGTAACACAAGTTGTGAAACGTAGAAGTCCAGGAAGGGGAAAGAAAACAAGCAAGGCAAGCAAACCTTCTGACCCAGGGATTTAACATCTCAAACTTTACATTCCCTTGATGCACATTTTTGTGGAGTGAATAATCCTGTATTAACTGAGCCTGAGTGAAAGGTCCTGACAGGGGCAGTGTGCAAGGTAGAAATGTGAGCGGGAGTATGGGATAAAGTGATACAGCAGGATTTATAAGGCGACCTTACCCCAACAAGAACTAAGAGAATTGCTGTTTAGACCTGGGATCAGAGAGAGGTCTGTTTTACAGACCAGCTCTGATGGGGCTTGGAGAATTCCCCATTCACTGGGAAGGCAGTATTGGGGTCTTCATGTTTTTTCTGTTGAAAAAGCAGAAGCAAATCCCACTAGAATTCAAGAGTAAAATTGAGGTGAACCAACGGGTGTCAGGTCAAGGAGGACTGAGGGAGGGAGGAAGGGTAAAGCCCCGAGAGAAAGCTTACCTAGGAAGGTCAAGTCTCAAATGCCTTGGATACTTGATTCATCTGAGATGTTTCTTCCAGCCCTATTTCTCATCCTTTCCAGTTCTGCTTTGCATCTCATTCAGGATCCTCCTGCCAGCCTAGCCCTTTGCAACCACATCTTTTCCCTTTGAATTATTGACACTTTATTTCTTTTGAAGACAACAAGTGGCCTAGGAGAGAGATCTCATGGACCAGTGCTTATTGGCAAAGCTGCTGACATTGGAGGCCAGAGACCTTTGGCAAATCACTTTACTTCCATGTGTCTTTGTCGTGAAGTGGGGGGTCTGGTGGTGAAACCTTTGAAAGCCTGTGAAATCCTATGAAATATGAACTTGCATTTCTAGTGAGGAGAACTTTTACAATCTTTTCCCCAATGCCTAGTGGAGGGTGCCTGAAAGCTTGCAATTAAAGAGGTTTCTTTGCAAAAATCTTATTGGTCTAATAAAAGATATCGCCTCTACCATGAGCCCTGATTGAAATACCTGGTGTTCTCTGTGCCTGAAGAAGGGTGTTTGTACCCGAAAGCTTGCAAAGAACAATTTTCCCAATGATGTAGTGGGTCTAATAAAAGAGCTCACATCTGCCCAAAGAACCTTGTCCTTAGATCAACACGGCTACAACCAACAACCTTTGAAATACCTGAGATATTTCAAGCAAAAGAAGGAGGTCTGCTTGGGGAAGGCAGAGGGCTAAGAGGAACGATGAAAAGTATCTCAACTACTTCAGCCTAGCAAATTGCCAAGAAGTTAATTGTTAGCTGTCTAAAATCCAGGGAATCCACTCTATACACTCTGGGCAACATGGCAAAACATGAGACTGGCCGCCTGACAGATAAAGCAGGAGATTTGACTTGATTTGATTTTTCTTCTAGGCATCATCAAATGTTAAGGGTAACTTGCTGTGCATACCTGCGTGTCTTATATGTAGTTCAGATGCCTTTTGTGTTCATTTCTATATCGGTGCTAGCTACACATGATCTTCATTCCACTGCTTTCAAAGCAAGAACAATGGGCGATTTTCACAAGTCCTTGAAAAAGCAGTTTGTTTCGGTTCTGAGAAGAAATGCAGAGTGGCGCTCATACTTTTCTGCACTGGTATGTCCTTCTCTAATGGTGAGCTGCTCTTAATGCAAGTGGAAGTACCTTTTAAATATGCAAAAGCCTACATGAACTCCTAAATGAAAGCCTAAATCATAATGTTTCTATCATTGTATTTGTTTTTTGCTGGCTTTTTCCTCTCACGGACACAAGAGATCATTTTGGAGGGCTCAAAGCAAGAGCTGGCCATCTTCTAGTGCTTACCATCCAGGACTTGAAATGACACAAAGAAATTTATATGGTTTGGGCTGAAGAATAGCTCCCTGAAGTATTGGAAAGCCTGGGGAGAGCCGAAATACAGAACTGCATGCTGCTTGAAACAAAGCACATCTAAACCCACCCTCCTGCCCATGCACTCTCTGCTAAGCCCTTTTAAAAGACACATTAATACATCTGTCATCTACACCATCCAATACAGCATGTGAATGATGGCTGGAGATTTAATGTGTTGTGACTCTGCTGCCAAGTGTTGTGCATTGGCAACATGGTGAAAGCATCTTGCACAGGAGGTAGGCTCGAGCCTTGCTCTGGGCTCACACCAATGGTCGTCATTAAAGGACCTAGCTGTAAATGGGTTCCTGGTTATTCAGGCTGCCAGCCACCTCCTTCCCTGGCATGCTGTTGATTATAGACAGGGGTGAGCCTTACAAACACTCTGGGTGCCTGTGCTCATGTGGATTTTGATCCTCTCCCCATCTGAACAATAGCAGATGGCAGGCCCCTTGCAGGAGGGCTTCCCATTGAGGAGAAATCTGTGGCATCTGGGTCTAGCTGGTTTTAATTGCTCATATACACCCAAAGCATGTAGGCCCTCTTCTTTTCCAGGGACCATGTCTGATCTTCAAGGAACACTTGTGCCCCAAGAAGTGCCTCCTGTTTGGCAGCGGCAGGGAGCAAGGTCCTTCGGTGCCGGGCACAGCTCCCTCCAAGACCTGCATCAAAACCCAGCAAGACTAGCTAGAACGGTTTGCAAACCTAGAAGCTTGGCTGGATTTGAAGCTGAAGAACCAAGCACGCCATTGAGTAAGTGTGCACGCTTGGAACGGCGAAACACCCTCATGAGTAGCAGTGTCTGCAGCCATTTCTCACCGCTCTGGGAGAACAAAATGTAGGTGTTTTCTGAGATGGTTATGAGCAGGGATCTGAAGAGGCATATCCTACAAGAGCATGGGCTCAGTCGTCTAAGATCAAATGCTTCTGATTTACTCACAGGAGAGTCCTAGCTAAGAATTCAGAATGCAAACAATCCCGTCTGCTTTCGAAAAAGGTCCTGTCGGGGCGTGCGGCTAATGGAGGCAGCCTAAATTGCTCTGAAACTGCAGGGGAGTCATGGGTCATCAGTGCTGCAATTAAATCTGCTGTCGTTAGAGCTGAGGGGAGTTCTCTACTGGCATCCGTGTGGCTTTAATGGGCCTGGTCCTTGTCGGGAGGGAGGGTGCTGGCTGCACCGTGGGCAGAAAGTGGCTGTGGTGATCAGATGAGGGACCACCTAATGGAAGGAGGGTGATATCTGAGTCGGAGCAGCACAGCTCCTGGTTCCACAAAGCCTGGGATAGGGGATAGTCTTGAAGCCCAGGAAGAAAAGCTTAGGCATAGATGTGACTCTGAGGCTCCAGGAGCTAATGAGCACTTGTGCTTTTGTCCATCTGATGTGTGCATTTTCCCTGGATTAAAAAAACCCCCACCCAAACAAACAGACAAGACATGTGGCTTTGAGGGAGGTGAGTGCCATTTCAGGCTATTCTAACTTAAATTTTGGTTGGCGATTGAGATTTTTGTTTTTTTAAAGATGTAAGGCACACAAGTGGCTTCAGGTCACCGCTTTGCCCCATGTGTGGTCCTGCCCCAAGAGCTAGAAAAATCCATCCCACCGAGTGTTCAACACTGCTCAGGGCCACACAGGCAACTCCAGAGGTGTAGGTTGTAGCCGTGTTGGTCTAAGGACAGAAGGTTTTTGAACCCGAAAGCTTGCTTAAATATTTTTTCCCCCAACTATTTAAGGTGGTCTAATAAAAGAGATCAGATTCACCCAAAGAACCTTGTCAGGCAACTCCGGTCATGCAGCGAAGAGCTTGCAGCCCGATGTGCCAGATGACAGGACCTGCAGGAGCAGGTAGCACCTGCCTCCCCCCGTGTCTGATGAAAGCTATGGTCCTCAATAGGAAAGGGAAAAGAAGTCCCAGTTCAAGCTACCATCAAGACCCAGAAGCCTGGACTGGTCTTTGTCAGCATCCTCCAAAAGCCTGTGTGTTTAACAAACATCTGGGGTTAACAAACATCTGGGGTGCTTGTCCCCATTTGTGCTGCTTGGTGCTCATCCTCAGTCCTGCAAGAAGAAGAGGGAAGGCTTTGTTTCCGAGATTCAGGCACTCCAGGTTTCCTTCCCAGCTCTTCCATAGGCTTCTTCTGTGACCTTGGGCAAGTCTCGATGATCTTCCAAGGTCCCTTCCAGCCCTAATGTCTATGAAGTCATTGAGCCTCCCTTACTCCCTCTGCAAAACTGGGTTACAGTTCTCCCTGCCCAGTTCTTCACCCTGGGGTGAAGTCAGCGA